CGCAGAGCCAAGGCAGTGGAGTTATCGTCCCAGGGGGCATGGACGAGATGGAACCTACCTAGTAGGAAGCTGACTTGGGCCGATGTGTGGAAGCTGGAGCCCTTCAGAATCTCCTTCTTGCTCAGGTCTGTTTATGACACTCTTCCCTCTCCGGCTAACTTATGCAGGTGGAACCTGAGGGAGGACCCAGCATGCAAACTGTGCGGTGAGAGGGGCACGATGGCCCACATCCTTTCTGGTTGCAAGGTTGCCCTCGCCCAAGGGCGCTACAGATGGCGCCATGACAAGGTGTTAGCAGTGATAGCAGAACTTCTTGAGCAGCAGAGGAGGAAGAAGCGCCAGGATAGGCCCAGACCAGATCTAGCAATGACCTTCGTGAGAGAGGGAGAAGTGAAACCGGCAGTAGGAAGAAGGGATAACAGCATCTTGCAGAGAGCGAAGTCATGGAGCTGAGGGTGGACGTTAGGTAGGAGAATGCACTTCCCCCACGGTTGTTCAAACGAACTTGCGTCCTGATGCTGTCCTGTCATCTGAAGACGGGAAGAAGATCGTCATGATCGAGTTGACTGTTCCCTGGGAGGAAGGTTGTGAGGAAGCCAACGAGAGGAAAAGAGCAAAGTACCAAGACCTGCTGCAGCAGTGTAGGGACAAAGGTTGGCAGGCTTGGCTGTTCCCAGTTGAAGTAGGGTGTAGGGGTTTCCCAGCACAGTCGGTGTGGAAGATGCTGTCAGCTGTAGGAATAACAGGAAGAGACAAGAAGGTAGCAGTGCGCAAGATGGGCGAAGCAGCAGAAAGGGCGTCATGCTGGCTTTGGTGTAGGAGAGAAACAACAAGCTGGAAACCGGGAGGAGCGGATGAGCAGTGACTTGGCCAACACTGCTGGGCCCGGCAGCCAGAGGGTGTAACGGAGTAGGGCCCGAAACATCCAGTGACAGCTGTTCCGTCTGAAGACATCCAGCTCCTCTAAGTGACAGCACTCCTCTAACCAAGGTAAGAGGAGTTTCCAAGCATCTTGATGTATTTCCAAACCAGAAGTAAAAGCATTTTTCATGTAGTTTTACTTTTGGGGTGCAAATGGTCGAACGGAAGTACATATAGGTAAAGATGTTCATTGTAGGGATCATACGCTTTATTTTGATAGTCGTGCAAGCTTGGTCTACCAAAAGTGTAGATAGAAACCAAGATCTATTTTAGTATAAATATACTCGATGGGTGCGATGTATGATGCCATATAGATATGGTGTAACATAATAAAACATCGACCTCATTGTTTCCCAAGTCTTGAATGTTCGCGTCGTGGTTCGTTTCTGTTTGGCCGGTTACCGCTTCAGCTCCATCCCGCTCACTGTGTCCCGTTTGCTCTTAAAAATAATACCATAGATCTTGTAACTATTGTTATTTGGAAGGTAAACACTAAATTTGATTTTCCACCGGTAATATAGCATAGGGTGGCATATTTTTAATCAAATTGTAACGAAGCGAAGATGAATTCACAATTCCCGCTTTACCTTACGACAGTATGTTATAGCTTGCATAATCAGAAGGGTTCATTGAGGTTTTCGAGATACCCAGAAGCTCGCCAACTTACCAGTGATGGCTACAAATGACGCATTGACGTATCCGGTCGCGTTTGACGACGTTTCTTCCGGTGAAGGTGTTTGGCCGGTTACCGCTTCAGCACCATCCCGCACAGTGTGTCCTGTTTGCTCTTAAAAATGATACTACAAGTCTTGTAACCATTGTTACTTGGAAGATAAACACTGAATATGATTTTCCAACGGTTACATAGCATAGGGTAGCATATTTATTGAATTAAATTGTAACGAAGCGAAGATGAATTCCCAATTCCCGCTTTACCTTAGTGTGTTATAGCTTGGATAAGGCCACAGCAAGTAATTTTTATGGATGATATCAGAGCGCGCATTAATTTTCGCCTGATTTAAAAAAAGAGATCATGTTGCCCTCTGACAGTGGTCAACATGTCAAAAATAGGCAAAGATTATATGTGATGTTCCCACTGAATCAAACCCATTTGCCCAATGATTGAAAACTTGTATTTTTCAAAGTTGTTTCGGTGACAAATAATGGATGTTGTAATGACTGACAGTAAACACAATATACAATAGGTATCATTCCTTGTTAAACAAAGTTTAAAATGTAGGAACTTGTTTTTTCGGGGAGGCGCCTTGTTTTTCTTCGCCCTATAGCATTAGATTTGGAGTCTGCTGAGGATGTCATCCATAAAATTTACTTGCTGTGGCCTAAGCAGAAGAGTTCATTGAGGTTATTAAGATATCCAGAAGCTCGCCAGCTTACCCGTGATGGCTACAAATGACGCATTGACGTATCCGGTTGTGTTTGACGACGTTTCCTCCGGCGAAGGTGTTTGAGCTCGTTTCTTTTCTCGCCTGTCATTAAATGACCAACAAAGATGACACAAGTTTGCATCTTTCTTGAAAGTTCATTTGTGTTGGTAGAAGTCATTATGAAACAAGTTTGAACTGTAATGGCCTACACAAAAAAAAAGGACTCACCCAAATTTTCAACTGTACAACTCCAGTCTTTGTCAAGGAATGAGCAATCCACCGCTTCCGTGACGTCACGTAGATAACACACGTGACTCCGTCAGCAGTGGATCATAGGTTACACCTTTTTGCATTTAAAGATGCTTAAGGGATTAAAGAGGCCATCTACATTAGGGCATTACAACCATACCTCAACAGAGACGGGGGGCGCCACAGACTTTCTACAACCTATATCCACTGCTGACGGAGTCACGTGTGTTACCTGCGTGACGTCACGGAAGCGATGGATTGTTCATTCCTTGACAAAGACGTACAGTCAAAAATTTGGGTGCGTCCAATTTTTTTGTGTTGGCCATTACCGTCATAACTTTGGATCTAGTCTTTCAGTCCAGTTGATTCGACATCATTTGAAACACTTATGATTACAACAACTGAAATCACAAATGTCACGCACTAAGGAATGACGAACTAAGCCTAACCTGCTAGTAAAGAGCATAACCGCGACCTGTATCATTGCAATTAATGATAAAACTCCACCTCCAACTGCAGCGAGAACAGCCGTCAGGGATTGACCTGCAAACAAAATAAGCCATTATCGTTACTATATGCAATGGCAGGAACAACTGAACGTGGGAACATAGGAACTTAAACTGTCTCTATTATCCTCTTGTCTGGATGGCAATTCTTTTTAGTTTTAGTACTAAAAGTACTGTATCTCCGTCGCTTCCCTGCCAAAATGGGCACGCGGATATTCTATCTGATGATGATGTCCATGGCCCGTCGCCCGCGCGGTGGAACGCTGCTGTAGCTGATTTAGCTAACCAACCCGACTATTCAAATCGATAGTGATAGAATATATTGGAGCCTTTTTTTTTACAGGAAAACGGTTGAGAAACCGTACTAAAGCTGATAATCCTGCAATGAAAATCACTAATTGCCAATGTTGTTTCTTTTAGTTTTGAACGAATGACATTTTATTGATCATTTTTGGGAGGGGGGGGGGGTAATTTAAGGCTGGATGTTGTAAAAGTCGTTTGAATTCCCATTTGATAAGCCGATTCCCATTTGTGTGAATGACTGACGTTTTTATTTGAAGCTATGGAAGAAGTCGTATTTTGATTGGGTTGGATGTCAATTTTGTGATAATTATTTGATCAAGGCCCTGATCACCGTAAACCACGACCCTGTTTATGCAGGCCTTTGCTGGCGAAAACCTTATACTCTACTGAGTTTTACGCTCTAATTGTTGGGTTATTAGAACCGCTGGAGTAAAACAGTTATTCAACAGTTAATTAATCATGCAAAATCCAATCATACTAAAAATGTAGAAGTGTTGACTTTTAGAAGTCGATCATATTTTTTGTCATGAACAGTAGTACACCAATAGTGTGCATGCGTTGCATCTAAAGGATTTAAATTGGGCTAGTGCACTACAAAAGGCCAACGAAGGTAGATTATTTCTATATCTCTGAAATACCTGGTACTGCTGCAATACTGCTGTTTGGACTGTGACTTGAAGTCCCAAGACTTGGAACTGCGGTGCTATAATGTACTTCTGTGGATGGGTACAAGTGGGATGACGACGTGGTTTCTGCAGCGCTTGATGTCAAGGTGGTTGCAGAGGTTGTAACTAAAGGTGATGTTTCTGGGCTTTTTGTAGTTGTCCGCGTGGTTTCTGCAGCACTTGATGTCAAGGTGGTTGCAGAGGTTGTAAATAAAGGTGATGTTACCGGGCTTTTTGTAGTTGTCCAAGGGTGGCGCGTTGTTGGTAAGCTTGTCGTGGGCAACTCTGAAAGAGAACACATATACGTTTTAGGTTTTTTTCACAATATTAATATTTTGTGGCAGTTCGTGGTAGAAAGTGACGAAAAGGTTTCAAAGGTTCACATTTCTCATCGTCTCATGACAAAAATGGCTGCAGTTTGTGCTGTGGGAGAGTTTGTCGTCGGTAACTTTGGAAAAGTACATTTTGGCTGTAACATACTTTCATGACAGTAAATAACAACTATACAGTACAATTATAATTTTCTTGTTCTGTGGGACATTTGAATAAATTTAACTTTGCGGTAACGTTACTATTTGAGTATCATAACAATGAACGTCACTTATTATAATTTTCTTGTTCCTTGTGACATTTGAATGAATTTAACTTTGTTGGCATTAAAGGAAATTTCCCAGTCCCCAAAGTTGAAAACCGTCTACTTATTCTAAATTAAACTAAAGTTAAGATTTAAGTTCGTTTTGTGACGAAGAACTCCCCGTTTAACTTTTTGGGGCATCATGTTTAGTTTTTTGTGTCAAAGTTTTGTCATAAATTACCTTCTACTCCGAGTAGTTCAATCCGTAGTCTTGGAGCCCCAGAAAACGTTCGCGGGTTCACAACTATAACCCGGGTGAGGATGTAGGAAGTGAAGTTCTGTTGAACAATCGTCTCGTTGTCAAAATTTCCAGTAAAAATCTGAGAGAAAAAATGGATCATCGATTGAAAACCAAATAGTCCACACATAAGCCGTTCATAATATCATCCTTGTATGTTTTGAAGATGGCAGAAACAAAATTTCAGAAAAAGGAGGCGAAACATTACTCAAAAAAATAATTTCATCTTCATCATGGTCTGGGGCGGAGTATAATGAAAGACAGTGTTTACCTTGGGGTTCACACCATCTTCCGAGTAGCCAATCAGTTGTGGTGAGCTGTCCGTCTGGTATAAGATCCTGAACGTCTCGACGTAGCCATCTCCCTGTCCCTGGGTCTGGATACCGAAAACGTAATACATTTTCTCTAGGTCCACGGCCAGGTACCGTACTACATCTTGCCCAGCCAGCTGCCAGGCTCCATCGCCGTTCAAGCGGCCCCTGTACGACTCGGACCCGTTTAGTTGCGATGAAGCAGTCATTTGATCATTTCGTATAATGTTTTTGTCCTGTACACCTATTGGTTGGTACACAACGTTTACTCCGAGTAGTTCAATCCGTAGTCTTGGAGCTCCAGAAAACGTTTCCGGGTTCACAAGTATATACCTGGCGTGGATGTAGGAAGTAAAGTTCTGTTGAACAATCGTCTCGTTGTCAAAATTTCCGGTAAAAATCTGAGAGAAAAAAGTGGATCATCGATTGAGAACTAAATAGTCCACACTTAACTCAATGTCGAACAAGCCGTTCATAATACGTATTATCGTCACATGTTTTGACGATTTAACAAAATGGCAGAAAAAGAAGCAAAAAGGGGAAGGAGGCAAAACATTAGTAAAAAAATAATTTCATCTTCATCATGGTATGGGGCGGAGTATAATGAAAGACAGTGTTTACCTTGGCGCTCACACCATCTTCCGAGTAGGTAATCAGCTCTGTTGAGTTTTCCGGCTGGTATACGAATCGGTACGTCTCGACGTAGCCATCTCCCTGTCCCTGGGTCTGGATACCGAAAATGTAATACTTTTTCCCTAGGTCCACGGCCAGGGCCTCAAATTCCTGTTGTCCAGTCGGCTGCCAGGCTCCATCGCCGTTCAAGCGGCCCCTGTACGCCTCGGATCCGGTCAGTTGGGATGAAGCTGTCATCAGATCATCCGGAATGATGGTGCTATTCTGTACCCCAATGGGTTGGTATACTCCTGATGGTCTCTCTGTCAATGCAGTACCAGGCTTGATGTACACTGGAATGATGCATTGTATTTTAATTCTAATAATAACAACTCTGCCTTTTCACAGAACACGGAAACGGTAAAAAAAGAAAACATGAGTAGCTCAGTAGGCAAGTGCTACTCTCCAAGCATACGTTATCTTGGAAGATTCGCCAAAATATTACATAATATACAGGGCGCTATATAGGTGGTACTGTATGTGTAACCAATATATATATGGGGTCAACAGAACCCACTTGAGGTATAATTTCTTTAAATGTAAGACAAAAAACAAGCCTGCGAAGAAAGAT